GCTCTGTTCAATATCTTCATCAACGATTTAGATATTGGCATAGAAAGTATGCTTATGAAGTTTGCAGATGATACCAAGCTGGGAGGGGTTGCGACTGCTCTGCGGGATAGGGTCATAATTCAAAATGATCTGGACAAATTAGAGAAATGGTCTGAGGTAAACAGGATGAAGTTTAATAAAGACAAATGCAAATGCTCCACTTAGGAAGGAACAATCAGTTTCATACATACAGAATGGGAAGCAACTGTCTATGAAGGAGTACGGCAGAAAGGGGTCTAGGGATTATAGTGGACCACAAGCTGAATATGAGTCAGCAGTGTGATGCTGTTGCAAGAAAAGTAAACATGATTCTGGGATGCATTAATAGGTGTGTTGTGAGCAAGACATGAGAAATCATTCTTCCACTCTACTCTGCGCTGGATAGGCCTCAGTTGGAGTATTGTGTCCTGTTCTGGGCACCGCATTTCAAGAAAGATGTGGAGAATTCAAGAAAGATGTGGAGAAAACTTGTTCATCTTGGCCTCTGAGGATAGAACAAGAAGCAATGGGCTTAAACTGCAGCAAGGGAGGTTTAGGTTGGTCATTAGGAAAAAGTTCCTAACTATCAGGGTGGTCAAACACTGGAATAAATTGCCCAGGGAGGTTGTGGAATCCCCATCTCTGGAGATATTTAAGAGTAGGTTAGATAAATGTCTATCAGAGATGGTCTAGACAGTATTTTGGTCCTGCCATGATGGCAGGGGACTGGACTCGATGACCTCTCGAGGTCCCTTCCAGTCCTATGATTCTATGACACATTTGGCCATTGCTGTAAAACACAGCCCCTTGTCTGCTTAAGGAACATGGAGAGGGCTGGCAGCGCATAGCTGAAGCCTAAGCAGCCCCAGGAGACTGGGGGAGCTGTGCTGAATAGAAAGGCCGGAGGCAGATTGTGGGTGGGGGCCAGCCAGGCAGTTTGGAAAGTCATTGCCTTCCCCTGCCTCTTACACCTGCTGCCTATGGATTATTCTCTTTTAAATAAATCTGGGAGGTAAGTACCAGAGAGCTAATTGAATGTTTAACCATTATGCATGAATTTTTGGTGGTGCAACAGTTATTCTTGGTTAAATTGTAGAACAGTGTGGGAAGTGTTACTCCTTCTCATAACAAAAGAACTAGGGGTCGTATAATGCAATTAATTGGCAGCAGATTTAAAAGAAACAAAAGAAATTATTTTTTTCACACAACACACAGTCAACCTATAGAACTCCATGCCAGAGGCTGTCGTGAAGGCCAAGACTATAACAGGATTCTAAAATGAATTAGATAAGTTCATGGAGGATAGGTCCATTAATGGCTACTAGCCAGGATGGGCAGGAATGGTGTCCCTAGCCTTTGTTTACCCAAAGTGAAAATGGGTGAGGGGGGATGGATCACTTACTTGATGATTCCCTGTTCTGTTCATTCCCTTTAGGACACCTGGCATTGGCCACTGTCGGAAGACAGGATACTGGGCAGTGTTCCCTATACACTGCGTAGCAGCACAGCTTCACAGATGATTAATCAGCTCCACGCAGTCAGTCATCTCCGTACACGGAGCCCTGAGCCTCGGACTGGGTGGAGCTGATTAATCACCTGTGAAGCTGTGCTACTGTGCAGCTTAGAGGGAACACTGATACTTGGCTAGCTGGACCTTTGATCTGACCCAGTATGGCCATTCTTATGGGAATTGCTGCTAGAGAGATTAGTAGCAAATATTGTGTATATAATTATATTCCATACCAGTGTTTCTTAGAGTGGGACTGAATTAATAACCTCAATAACACTCCCTCTTTCTCTCTGAGTTACCCATAGTGTATTGACATTTCAGAGACTGAGTCCATTAGCTGATGTATCTACATAGATCCTATAGTTACATGGTTGATTAAGGTTAACTTAAAGAAGAGTAAGATTTTCACTGATTTAAAATGAAATATGTATTCAGGTATTCTCAGGGATTAAATATGCACCCAACACTTACCCTCTGCTGATATATTGTTTCCGTACTTCAGAGTTTAAAACAAGAAATTGCTATGCTCACTTATACCTCCTACACTTGGTAGCAAATATAGCCTAAAAATGGCATAGTTTATGTTGCTATTAATTCTGCATCTCTTTCTGCTCTCTCTCTATAAAGGCTAGTTAATTAAAAATTGTCTAGTTTCTACATTACAGACATACAAGTGAAGCTTGACAAACCATGTTCTGAGAGCTTACACTGGCTTCTTCAGGGAAGAATCAGTATTAAATGCAGATTTCAAGTATTTTCAGTGCATGATGGTTAGAACCATAATAATTTGATGCATAAGATCACAATTTCCTGGGTTGCTACAGTTGAAAGGCAAAAAGCAGATACAACAATAAGCAGAGTCTCTACTTTGAAGGTGAATCTCTTTGTGACAAAGTTAATAATAGCTGGGAACTTTGTGCAGTACACACAAAACTATCCAGACCCATCATGTAATATTTCTTCCTGCTCCACAGTTGCTGTGACTGATGTATGGTAAGTCAGATATGTCACTGCTGGAACTGATAGCTGTTCCAAAATGAAGTAGTGCAAGGCCATGGAATAAGCATTTATTTTGCTTGTTGGGCTTGGGGTGTTTTTGCTTCAACATCACTAGAGTGTGCTTTTTTGGATGTATTGTGGTGTTTACAGAATAGCTGTTGATCTATTGTAACCACCAAAAACAATCCATTATTTTCATTTCTAATATTATTACTTCATGAAGTTCATCCTCTTTCTCATTTTCTATGCAATGTTTAAATATGCTGTAAGACAATGGAAAAATAATTCTTTAATTCTATAGCAGAACTTGCTTTTATTTATTTTGTATAGGCAAACAGGAATGTGCATTAAGTCCAATTATCTTTTAACACAAGGAGGACCCACCAATTATTCACAA